GGAAAAACGAACACTTGAAAAAAATTTGAAGTCATGTAGGAGAAACGATTTTGAAGATTGTTTGTTTATTCACTAATAAATAATGAGTCTCCCGTCTGGCAAATCTGCCACCCGGCTCCCAAAAAAGATGTGCACACGTACGTGGTAGATTCGAAAATCAGTAATCTAAACTGAAAAAATTGTGCATCAGGACAAATCTGACATTTTAATGTGCTAAACGTAATGAGTCAGTCGTGCTGTACACAGAATCGTGTTTTGATGCTCGATTCACGTGGATCAGCTAAAAATAATGATATCTGTCCAAACAGCAACTTTCTACGTTTCATATTAACCGAGACATCGCCCTTTGATAAGCCGATTTTGACGTCATCTAACGCGGTGAGTGACACCCTTGGTCTATTCTACCTTGTTTTCATTAGTGACGTACATTTGCACTGGTTACTCAACGTGAAACTCGGATGAAAAATATTAGCGCCTGCAAGACTGCGGAAATACTTCACGCATTGCGCTAAACAGTGCGGTCGTCGTGAGCCGCATATAGCGCCTACAAGACTGCGTGAATACTTCTCGCATTGCACCAAACGCAATGCTGGCGTAAAATGCATATTAGTGCCTACAAGACATTGAGTTCAGTCGGTGTGACGCATATTTGCACTGGTTGTTCAACGTAAAACTCGAGTGAAAACAAGGTAGAAGAAACCACGAGTGTCACTACCGCGGTGGATGACGTCAAAAACCCAACTTTTCAAAGGGTAATATCTCGGATAATATAGAACGTAGGAAGTTGCTGTTTAGACAGATCTTATTATTTTTAGCTAATCTACAAGAATCAAACATCAAAACATTCTGTGCCCAGCGTAATCGACCCTTTGTATGCCTATCAATAGAAAGTCTACTGATTTCCCTGTGTTTTTTGTGCACGAAAGATCTATTAAGGTGATTCGACGGTTGTCATTTTTTGTGTCAGAGCGATGTGCATATTGCATCAATTCGTTCCATGATTTCAACTACTTTTCATTTTTTTCAAATTTTGAGATCACAATTCTGTTGTCATGAGACTAAAGAATTCATGTACCAAATTTGACAAAGAAATTCAAAGTGTAAAAGGCAGGGTTTTTCAGAGGAAAAAATCGCATTCGAGTGCAGTTTCGATGGCAGTATCGAATGCAATATTTTTCCTCTAAAAACCAAGCCTTTATTAGGGTTAATTTCTTTGTCAAATTTGGTACATGAAATCCTTAGTCTTACTTAATAAAAATGCGATCTCAAAATTCGAAAAAAATGACAAGTAGCTGAAATTATGGAACGAATTGATGTCGCTCTGACACAAAAAATGGCAAGATGATTCGATGGACGCCATATTTTGTCTCAGAACGGCATGCGATATATCGCATCAATTGGTTCCAGTTTTTCAGCTGCTCGTCATTTTTCTCGAATTTTGAGATCGCAATTCTGTTGCCAGGAGACTAACGCACTCACTTACCAATTTTAACAAAGAAATTCAACGTAATAAAGGCGTGGTATTTTCAGAGAGAAAACATCCCATTCGATACTGATATCGAAACTGCACTCGAATGCGATATTTTCTCTCTGAAAAAACCACGCCTTTATAACGTTTAATTTCTTTGTTAAAATTGGTAAGTGAGTGCTCTAGTATCCTGACAACAGAATTGCGATCTCAAATTTGGAGAAAAATGACGATTAGCTGAAAAAATGGAACCAATCGATGCGATATATCGCATGCCGTTCTGACACAAAATATGGCGTCCATCGAATCACCTTAAGCATTCTTAAATGCATATATCTTGTCTGATACATGTTTTCTAACTTAAATATGGACGTAGTTCTACCAAAGAGACCTATGTGGAAGTGAGAAATATGGGGTGTGCTCGTTAGTCTCTTTGCGTGGCGAGTGAATGAGAATAATTGTGCGCCAGTGACGTCATCGGAGGAGGACGCCGCGTCACGTTCCTCGTGGTTGCGGTAGTCGTGCTCATTAACTCATGAGCCCTGTCCACAAGGCTCTCTTGCCATGCCCGCGGCTCATGAGTTCCGCACTCAGTTGCACATAGGTCTCTTTGATAGAATGTAAAATCCCGCTTTGCCAATTCTTCAAAAGGAACCACGCCCACTTTTACATTGCTTCTTATGCAGCTTCCACGAGCACACCCCACATTTCTCATCGCCACATAGGTCTCTTTGGTAGAAATACGTCCATATTTGGTAGTCTCAAATCACTGGCATTTATGAATGTAAGTATGGGCCTGTTGCAAACTTTTGCTAGAGCAAAACTAAGAGTTGTTTCTTATAGATAATGCCTCAAAAATCACGATGAGCGCATCGGCAAACTCTGAAATGCACTCATAACTTCACAATCTGCGTAAGAAATTTGCGGTTTTTTGAGCTTCCCGCTTCAAAAACGATACTACGGCACAGGTGAACATTTTGTTAGAAGAGTCGTTCCATCGTCGGGAATAATCATCATAGCCGACGCCAATCCGCCAAAACACGTTTGATGGGACGAGATAACACCTGAACTGGATTAGACCAGATAACAATCGGTGTGTTAACGTTCATATTTTCCACGCCCGAATGGATTGACCTTGAACTCTCCTGGAATTACGCGCGGAAGTCTCCTGACAACAGAATTGCGATCTCAAAATTGGAGAAAAATGACGAGTAGCTGAAAAAATGGAACCAATTGATGCGATATATCGCATGCCAATCTGACACAAAATGTGGCGTCCATCGAATCACGTTAAAATATCTATTGTGATATTTGAATAAGCCTTGATTTCGGAGCTGGATTTTAGCAGCGTGACGTGGTGGATTTTTTCGGAACTACAGCTGAAGATTCATCTTAAGCATTTTATGAACCTCATAAAGACTAATATGCAAAGTTTATGGAGCACCCAGTCCGACAAGAAGGAATCGCGGATGAGATGGAGGGAAGGAAAACACGGGACGGGTTCGGATGGTGAAGGAGCCTACATTGAAAAGGCCAGGAGGAGATAGGTATCACCTTCGTAATAGGGGTAAAACTCTCGATACTCCTATACGAGTGGGCTCCCCCCCCCCCCCCCCCCCTAATGTAACGCGCAATCCGTCTCTCGAGTGAGATACGAATCGTCAAGTTTCCGGCAAGGGCAGGTCAAAAACTTGAGTGGAATAAAAATTGACTCAATTCGGGGGGTGATCAACTCCGAGGCTCTCCGGTAAATTTTGTTACGATACTCTCCGATACCGGGTGCTTCGCAAGCTCGGGCCATATTTCATTGGGTCCTCGGTTGGTATAATAAAGTTGGGGGACCCATAAGTAGCATTTTTCAACGGAGAAATTGCGGTATTTTGAAATTAAGTCGCGATTTTTTTACGATTTTTTGGCCGTGAAATAGCCAGGATCGTCAACGTCCGAGCGATTATCCGACTTGTCGCAATTTTATCTTTATTAAATCACGTCCAATAGAATCACAATTTTATCGCAATTTTTTAAGAGTACGTGTGATAATATTGTGATTAACCAACACTTTCAATACCGGGTGTTTCGCAAGTTCGCGCCTTATTTTATTGGATCCTCGGTTGGCATATGAAAGTTGGGGGACCGAAGTAGCTTTTTCCAACGGAGAAATTGCGGTATTTTGAAATTAAGTCGTGATTTTTTGGCCGCACTGGAAAAAAAACCAATTGGATCTAGAGTCCAGACTCTTGAAAGCATTGACAAGAAAAAAATACTCTTGGTTCAATCAGATTTAAGCGTAAATCATAAGGAAATCCGCTCAAATTAAGAGGCTTAGTTCTTGATTTAAGCTTAAATCTGATTGAATAGTATTTTTTCTTGTCGATGTTTTTAAGAGTTCGGACTCTGGATCCAATGTGTTTTTTTGCCAGTGCGTAAAATCGAGAAAATCGCCAACATCCTAGCGATTGTCCTCAAACTTGTCGCAATTTTATCTTTATTAAATCACGTCCAATGGAATCACAATTTTATCGCAATTTTTTAAGAGTACGTGTGATAATATTGTGATTAACCAACACTTTCGATACCGGGCGTTTCGCAAGCTCGGGCCTTATTTTATTGGAAACTCGGTTGGTGTATTAAAGTTGGAGGACCCGAGTAGCAATTATTAACGGAAAAATTGCGATATTTTGAAATTAAGTTGCGATTTTTTTACGATTTTTGGTCGTGAAATAGCTAGGATCGTCAACGTCCGTGCGATTATCCACAGTCTTGTCGCAATTTTAACTCTATTAAATCACGTCCAATAGAATCAACATTTCTTCGCAATTTATGTATATTATGTTTGATAATTTTGTGATTAATCAATACTCTTGATACCGGATGCTTCACAAGCTCAGGCCTCAATTTATCGGGTCTTCAGTCGGAATATTAAAGTTGAGGTACCCAATTACAGAATTTTTCAACGGAAAAATTGCGATATTTTGAAAGGAAGTAAGTAGGATTGTCAACATCTGAGCGATTATCCTCAATCTTGTTCCAATTTGATCTCTTTTGAATTACGTTCAATGAAATCGGAATTTTATCTCGATCTCACAAGATTCTATGTTTGATAATATTGCGATAAATTGCCGTTGATAAAATCGCGATTTTATTCAAAATTTTAGTGATGAAATTGCACTTTTTCGCGATTCTTTCACTTATTATATAGCAATGAGTCGACGTCGATAAAATTGCAATACCTTTTCCGATCAAATCGCAACTTATCGTGATCACTTCTACTTGGGTAAAAGAAGTATCAATATGGACGTCGCAGTCCATATTGATAAATCGTTTTTGGACCCAAACTGAGCGACTCAATGATTAGCTCATATGCTTTAAAGTAGTTTTCATGCTGGAAGGAACAATGCACACATGCATTTTCAACAGGAGAAAAAGGAAAATCAAAAATAAACAAATAGAGCTTCAATACTGTTTTTGTGAGACTGATAGTGCAACCAAAATAACAAACAAGTGTACTGAAAACAAAAAACATCATTCTGAGTCCATCTACATCATAGCGCGAACTGTTTTAATATGGACGTATTCAAATGGGATCAGCCTGACTGTAAGGCATTAATACTTTACGGGGAGCTAGATAAAATTGCGATTTGAAATCATGTAATTATATTCTTCTCCTTGATTTTTTGTTTGTATGTTTGGGGTAGCCCTAATCCGAATTTTTAACTTCCACAAAGTTAAGAATTTTACGTTGACATACTGCATTTGTTAAGTGCATTGAAAATACTTATCGTCAGCGATGAATCTGTGAAGTATTTCATAAGTCCACCTGGGGTGAGCAGCTGCAAGGAAATGCCCTGCGTTTCGCATCACAACTTCTGTAAGAGTCCCGGCCGACTTATAGTAAGCGGCAACTTCATCTTTAAACTTCAACTGACACCTTCTTGCTTTAAAGAATTCATCAGCACGCGGCCACTTGTAAGAGTCATAAAGGCCGCCACTGATGACTCCCGCAGTATCAAATTGACCGTTCATAGACAAAATTGGCAACGATTCAGCGGTTAAAAAATCTTCCAATATTGGTTTGGTAGGTATTAAGAGACCTCCGTTTTGTTTCAGATGTGAAACAGCCTCCGCAGAAACTTCTGTCAGATTGTATTCTCCCACATGAAGGGCCCGCTTTGTTGCAGACTGACTCAGAAACCATACTGCTAATTTTGCCTGGTACACTGCGATGTTGTCATGCACAGAATCTAAAGTATCTCTAAGGCCGGTGAATTCCTTGATGCGTTCTCTGATTAAAATTTGGAGAGCCAACTGAAAACAAAAATGCATACATTTTGTTTCATTAGAATCAGGACTCCTGATCCTAATGATCTCCTGATTCAGGAGAAAAAAATATGAAAATCAATATATTTTAGTCATTTGGGGTGGATTTATTTTTTTCGCGAAACGATAGTAAATAAATCCCCAAAAAACATCAATTTTCCGTGTAAAATCGACGTAACGAATTGGTATACGTCGACTCCCTGACGTGAAATTAAATTCTTCGTGTAAAACAAGTTATTTATCGATATGCTGAACAGAAAATATGTGTGAGCGCATATAAAAGCCCGCGGTACCATCAATTCAACAAGAAAACTGCACAAATTCGATGGAAGCCCCTTTGCCCCGCTCTCATCGTAACTCGGAAACCACTCCTACACTCATCTTAAAATTTTCTCAGAGCTTTGGGTCATCATAAGCTTCCATTTAAACCCCGGTTCAATGGCCGAAGCGGCAGCCGCCAAAAAGAAGACTATTTTCCAGAGGATTCTATAAAAAATTCGTGCAGTTATTGGCTCTCTGGAAATAACCATATAGCTATAATTGCCCCTAGAGAAAATATTACCTTGCGGTGAGCTCACCATCACCTTGCGGCAAGGTATCGGCCTTGCCACCCTCTCCGAGCCCTATCCGAGGCCTCGCCGGGTCAGTTCGTGGAACTTAACGACTGGGAATAATTATGCATGGCAACGCCGGAGACGAAATACACATACCCAACACGGGGTATTTCCCGATGCTGTGTCGCCTTTTTCAAGCCCTGCGTCTGGATTTGGGTCTACAGTGTTGTCATACGGTTTTATTCCCGGTCGTCGAGTTCCATGAACTAGCTCGGTGAGGGCTCGGATAGGGCTCGGAGAGGGCGGCAAGGCCGATACCTTGCCGCAAGGTGATGGTTAGCTCACCGCAAGGTAATATTTACACTGGTAGTATAATTGTTTGAGTGCTTAAAATAATCGTATTTCAGATACTTTCATTACAGATTACATTTCTTTTCAATAATATAACGGGATTTCCTATTATTGGCATACGTGCCAATAAAGAAGTTTATCAAACGGAATTTATTCGCATGGACATGTTCATGCATCTCAATTACGTGTCACATACAATAATTGTAAACTAAAACTAATGATTGGTCTAATTGGGCATCTTATCAAACGCCAAGGTAGATAGTAAAATTCAAAAAATGTTTATAAAGGTTTCGATATGCTCTTGACGACGAGGTCTCAATTTTGTGATGTGTCTTGAAATTAGGAATTCATCAGAATGAGGAAAATCCCTGCATATATTCAAAACACGCCGTGTGACATATTTCAATTGTAAAAAGTTTGAGAACCATATTTTATGAATTGCTGCAAAATTTCAGACACACTATTATTTCAACCAATAATTTCTTTGTAAAAAAATAAAATGGTGACGAAAATTTTTAAACGTCGCATGGCGCTTGTGATACTTTGGCCGGAAATTGACGACATTGAGAACAAGGCTCAATTTAACATTGAGACATTGCATGAATGTAATTCCTTCTCTGAAAGCTACAGTGGGCACATAAAAAAACAAAAGCATAAAGAAGCTCATGAATTTTGTGGCAAAAAATAAGAGGAAATAAAATAAAATCTTACAGACTCAGTTCCATTTTCGGATAATTCTGCTCCACGAAGATTGGCCTCAAGTCTAGCTAGTTCTTGCCTCTGATTATCGTCCACCAGTTTTAGTGCAAATAGGTAAGCACTACTTGTCTCCAATACACCCACATCCCTGAGTTTGCTGACTAAAACCAGCCGTTTCAAATTCAGCTTGATATCCGAAATTTGATTATCCTCATAGATTTTGCGTGAGAGTAGCTGGGCAACTTTCGTGCCAGAAGAGTCACCGACGAGTATCAGTTCATTTCGCCTAAAAGAGGGGAACAATTTGTGAAGCTGAACCAAAAATTTGTAAAGATCCTCTGCCACTACTTTCAGGCTTGACGGATACCCCGATTCCAACTTGGTAAAACTGAAACCTGCTCCGACGGGGCTGTCGACGAAAACCAAATTGCATTTTCGATTCCATGAATATTTCCTGCGTTTTAGTTTCCTGTCTTGGCCTAAATAAAAAGGCCCAACATTTCTGAAGAGACCGAACAGACCCATTTGCGCATATCCACCGTGCAGCCAAACAATTAGAGGGCGTTCTTCCAATGTAGTTTCCTGATTTTTGAACAGCCAGAAAAACAAATTAGAGCCGGTAGTACTGTTAATGGTTAGATATCCAGCAAAACTCTCGACTCCTTTCATGGTAGGGACTTTTGCAAACTGTCGCGCTCTCTTAGCTTCACCATTTTCGATTAGCGGAGTCAAGAACAATGCCTCGTTCTTATTGTAACTTAGTCGGTGATGGAATTCACGTAAGTCAATCGTCGAATTTTGGCTAGATCGTGTATCAGATGGAAGATCACGATCTGTCTCTTCGGTTCGATGTTTAAGTTGGTCTCCACCATGATGATTTTGTTTCTTATGGTGGGGATTTTTCTTTTGTAATTCATTAACCTGATCTGTCTCGTGAGTGTCATCATTTAGAGCACTCAGAACTTTACCTCCCTGATCAGCAACATGAGTCTCTAAAAAAGTAGAAAAACGTAAGTCACTAAAATTGCCACACACCAAGGAACATATCGTCAGCCAAAACAGCAACAACATTTTGCCACTATGAAATAAATGGAAAGAGTGTAAACAACTAAAATTTTCTAACCGAAACTAAATATTTTTTGCCTCAAGATGGTTTCTCACAAAGATTCTACCCGGGACTAAACTCTTTTACTTAAATCACCGATGAAGGGTTCATCATCTTAATGCCACTCTGCTCTTGAGATATTGTATAATTTTCAAAGAGTTGTTTTCGAAAGAAATTTGATAATATTAATACCTTAAGATCCTACAGTTAAATCCATCAAATTTCCCGATATCAGAACAAAGTTATCAAACGAATACTCGATTATACATAACACCGCATCAATCATTTAGTACTCAATATTGATCTTTCAATTCAGCCTACTAGATTATTATTAAGTTTTTACAAGATTGTGCGTAAGTCAAAGTCTTCACTTAAAGTGGTTTCTTTTAAGCCGAGCCAATTTTAATAACTTGAAACAAAATTGGGAGGACAATATTGTGATACTGTCAACAATATCCAAGATTCTCCCGATAAAAGTGCAATTTGCGAGGAGAAATTTGGCAACATTGCAATAGTTATGTTCTTTCGTGAGAAAAGCGACGAATTATGAGAGGTCCTCATGTGATAGGTGGATGAATACTGAAAAATCTCCTTATCAGAATGTATGAGGTCTTTACATCTTATCTGTAAACGCGGACGGAAGGTTGCAGAAGTTTCCTGATATCGTGTAAGTCAATCTTCCAAATAAAACTTGTAATTAATGTTCACAGGGTAGCAAGTGCTCTAACAATTATGCAAAAACATTCATTTTCATCTGAGAAAAAACTGCATTTTAAATTAGTTCAGTATCAATATTAGACTAAATATGAACAAGTTGGATTTTGCAATCGCTAGCGATAGCAATATTCGTCATGGGAACGTTAGCTTCTGGGATATGAAAATGTTAAGGTACAGTTCGTTTGTAGTATCTTCTGAATTGAAGGGGCTATGTAATTTTGTGTTGACATCTCTTTTTTAACATTTTTAATTATTTTCTTTGCATACAAGAAAGCTGTTATGTACCACTTATTTATTTTCGTTGGATTATATAGGTATGGTTTTCGGAAGTTAACGCATTTAAGTTTCAGGTTCGCTTTTTCGGCGTAAAGTATACATAAGGTGTCCCAAACGCACCGGGACTTGTTCTGTAACTTCAAAAGTA